CTTGAAAAAAATTTTTGAAATTTTTGAAATTTTTTGAAAATTTTTTGAAATTTTTTGAAATTTTTTGAAAATTTTCTGAAAATTTCTATCAACATACATGTCGCACAACAAATTTCCTGGCCTTTCAAAAATAAATCCAAAATTGCCTTGATGTTGTTGTCCGGGGCGAAGCATACACTGATCATATGCAACGTAGGGGATCGTGTGATGGGTGTTTATCATATCCGTCAAATAAGCACTAAAAAATTTTAGAAGCTCGAAAATTGGGTATATTTGTTTATTTTACAAAGTTTAATATTTTAAAGTCAAAAATAAATCAGTTATCGACTAACGGACTCGAACCCCAGACTCAAATTTGTTAGACAACCCACTTAACCAAAGTACCAAAGGAGTGTTTTCTGGCTATTTTTAACAGGCCATTAGTCTTAAAATTAGGCTTGGACCCCGACTCCGTCTAACAACGATCACGGACAGTTTTGTCGAAACTCGACCCCAGACAGACCCCACAATTTTCGACCCTGATGGGACAGGACCACACTCCCCAACCCTAGGCATTAAAATTCCCCCAGGATTTTTAATAATGCCCCTAAGGATTACATTATTTTAATTTTAAGCTTTAATTATTTATATTTAATATTTTACTAATTTTTTTCATCCTCATGAGTTATATCTTGACCAACAACTTTATTTTTAAAATATTCAAAAATAAAAATTAGAAAAATTTGAATATAAAGAATAACTTCTTTTTTAAACATTTTTAAGAAAATTTTCTGAAATTTAAAAAATAGAAAATCTCTTTATAAGATATTCCCAATATAAGAGACACCTCTATTTAAGAGACGTACCATAAAATTTGGTTGTTTGCTGGATGGGCTGCCCAGCCAATACCCTCTATGTAACATACCTCCTTAGGAGGAGAACCTTATTTTATAATCGCTTGGGCAGCTCTCTCTACCCTATCATAACCAAATTTAAAAAACGTATCTTAAATAGAGGTGTTGTTAGTATCGGGGGGATATTACAAATTCGGACCTCTTTATAAGATACCTCTCAATACAAAATACACCTCCCTCTAAAAGACTTTTTAAAAGTTGGTTGTCCACAGGATGGAGGCTGCTTAAGAGACACCCTCTATTTAACGTACACCTCAATCTAATTTCGATATAAGGTACTCCCAATACAAGAAACACCTCTATTTAAGAGACGTTATTTAAGCTCTGATTGACCACTGGGTAGAAGAAGTTGCTTAAGAGATACCCTCTATTTAACGTACACCTCCTTCCAATCTAATTTCGATATAAGGTCCTTCAATACAAGAAACACCTCTATTTAAGAGACGTTATTTAAATTTGATTGACCACTGGATGGGGGCTGCTTAAGAGATACCCTCTATTTAACGAACACCCCGTTATAAGGTAACATTTTTCCAACCCCAAAGGGTGCCCCTTATAGTGAGCTTCATTAAAATATATTTTTTAATTAGAGAATCAAATCTCAATGTTTATTTTTAAAATAAAATGACTGTACAATTAAAGCGTTATAGCACTTTATAAGCTAAATGATTAAAAAACTTTTTAGTAAAATTAATGACTGTTTTGGGAAAATAAATTTTTTTATTTAATAGATTAAATATTTTTTTATAAAAAAATATGTATTTAATTTTAATGATTCATCTACATAATTATGCACTTTGTATCCCTATAGATTATAAATGATTATGGGGGATATCGTGGATATCGGAGATTTGGAGGGATAACAAAGGATTCTGATGGATTAAGGGATAGCGGTGGATTAATATGGATTCGAGGATCTAGAGAGCATTAAGATGTGTGGTTCAGAGCTTTCCGCTGGCGCGTCAGAGCTTTCCGCGTGGCGCGCCACACGCAAACTTTTCAAATTATTAAAACACGCTAAACGCCATAACGCCAAATCGGCCAAAAATTGCGCCAAACGCCAATTTTAAAATAAATTTATCAAAATAAAATATCTGAAAATTAATTAACCATCTTCTAATAATCTACAGAAACAATTAATCTACATAATCTAACATACCGTATATCCTTTAATAACTACCCTGGGTAATTATAGTTTCGACCTTCCATAGGAGAGAGTGATTAATCAAGGGAGGGGAATTACATATACGAGGTTTGAAATTTGAACGTATTTTAGGGCATTTGTTGGGGGTAATTATTGCTTCAATTCATCGATGTATGGGGTAATTAATGGAAGTGGGGTAATTATTGAGGGAGGGCAATTAATGCAAGTTATACGGTAGCCTCTTTAAGAGGGTATTATTTGCGGAGTATTTTTCGCGATTATTTTTGGAATCAGCATAAAAATACTTAGAATATAGATGCTAGAGGAAAAAATACTCGAGTTGAACTCAGACTTTTAGGTTTAGGAAACTTTGACCTGGGGTTTAGCTATCGAGTTATTGCCGGTGGTCTCAAGAATATTAAATTCATATAAATATATTTATCCAATTTAAAATCTCAATTTTCAATTTAAAAAATATAGTAAATTATCAAAGTTAATAGAGTCAACGCCTTCAAATTATTTTCATTTTTGTCCATTCGCGCCGCCGATTTCGGAGAAACTTTATGTGTTGTTCCCTTAACTCGAGTAGTTTGTCCTACTTTAGTCGTTGCTTTCGTTGTGGAAGATACCCAACTAGTTGCTTCAGTCGTTGTCGATACGGGAAGTAAATCCTCCTCGTTACACAAATCAGTGTCTTTACAAGTTACACAATTTTCGTATTTTGCAGGGCATTCACCGCAGTTTTGTTCGGCTAAAAATTTAGTTTTTGAATGGGGGAAAAATAAGAAAAGATCTGAAGATTCGGAACTTACCGTATTTCTTCTAATAGTGCGACTGTCTCTATTAGACCGACTCTCTCAATTATACCGTCCCCTTCTAATAAACCGACCCCTCTCTATTAGACCGACCCCTCTTTATTAGACAGACCCCTCTCTAAGAGACCGACCCCTTCTAATAAACCGACCACTTCTAATAAATCGACCCCTCTCTATTAGACAGACCCCTCTCTATTAAACCGACCCCTCTCTATTAAACCGACCCCTTCTAATAGACCGACCCCTTCTATTAGACTGACCCTTTCTAATAAACCGACCCCCTAGAAGAAGGTTGGAAAATAAACCGACCGGTCGCACTATTAGAAGAAATACGGTATTTACTTTAAGTACCTACCCCATTTGTTCGCAAGACAACCCCCTTATTACCCTATTTATTCGCCACCATTTATTCACAAGCCAACAATAAGCCATTGTTAACACGAGTAACCGTTGATTCTCGCGAAACGCGTGCCGCAAAGCGTCTCGACAAAACCCATAGGTATGGTTGACCATTTTGAGCCTTTTTCGAGCTTGCGAATAAATGGGGTATATATCTAAAGTAAGTTCCAAGGATTCATTAGAATCCTTGAACATTCCAATGATTCACTAGAATTTTTTTACCCCTCCAGAAGATGTCCCTAGCAATGTAGCAACTATCAATTGCTGGATGGCATGTTTTAGCTTTCGCCACATAAGGCTGTTGATTGAATTTAAGTTGGTAACATTTGATTTGAGACAGTTTTGTCTCCTCATTACAGAGTGAATTTGAACAATCAAAACATTTTTCCAAATGTTGCTGGTCAGAACATTTACCACAACCTTGCGCTATTCCTTAAATTGAACAAGTAGAATGTTCAAAAATGATAATTAAAGTTGGTATGTATCAGTTATCCCGTACGGGCACCAGTGATGCGGGGGTTCCGGTTCCGGAAGTGAAACAGTAGAACCGGTAACAATCCGGAGCGGTTCCAGAACCGGAACCGGCAAAATTTTGGAATTTCCGCATCGCTGGAGGACACACCCTAATCAGGGCTGTGCGTCATGGCGTTTGGCGTTTGGCGTTTTGCGTTTTGGCGTTAATTTTGGCCGATTTTTGGCGTTTTGCGTTTGGCGTGATTTTCCAATTTTGGCGCGCCAAACGCCAAAAATATACACCCCTAATGATGGAATTTTTTAAAAATAAATGGAGAAAGGGATGATCGAAAAAGGAAATTTTTCTGCGTACAGTCCTCCAAAATTCTCAAAATTTTCGCCTGCGGCGCATAAAAAATGAAGAAATCTACTGCTTGGACTTCCAAAATTTTCAAAATTTTCGCCTGCGGCGCTTAAAGGAGGAAGCCCCTATCTTAAACTAATAGACGGTAGAAAAAAACTTTAGTCCCGTCAATCGTTCACTCTCTTCATGACCTCTGTTATACTCATTACAACCTTTATCCCTTCATATCCACCTTAATCTCAAGGAGTTCTATGAATTTCTTATTTTTTAAAGGATGAATTTCGGCTTCTTTGCCTCCAAAATTTCAAAAATTTCGTTCCGGCGGTAAAAAAGGATGAATTCTGGCTTCTGGGAATCTTGAAAATTCAAAAAATTTCGCCTGCGGCGCTAAAATGAGATGAACAGTGGTTTTTAAGTCTTTATAGACTCTAAAAATTTTGGCGTTTGGCGTTTGGCGTTTGGCGTTTTGGCGTTGATTTTGGCCGATTTTTGGCGTTTGGCGTTTGGCGTGTTTTTAAAATTTAAAAAATTGGCGTTTGGCGTTTGGCGCGCCACGCGAAAATTTTGGCGCACAGCCCTGACCCTAATGTACAGCTGAGCAGAGATGGATCGGATTTCTTCCTTCCGATTTTCGAAAAAATTTTGATTTCCGAGTTCCGACTTTTGAGCCAGTTCCGATTTCCGGCTCTTTGTGTTCCGACACCTCTCTTTTCCGACCCACCTCCTCAGCGAGCTATAACTTCGTTCATAACTTTCAAATCCTTAACGCCCTGGTATTGTCCGACTAAGCTCGTCGAGGCGCATCGAACCGTAACAGTCCCATATGGAGCTCTACCACTTAGCTACCAGGGCATCGACTAATGCTTTCTCTTTTATCCTTTTAGATCGTTTAACCCCCGCCTAAGCGTTTTAAATGCTCCTGGTGGTCATCCTTACAACAGCTTTGCGGTACATGGCCTGCTCCCATCCTCTCCAGACTTCAGATAACCGACAAATACCTCAAATTCTAATTTACCCATTTCTCTTTTATTAGTCCCAACAAAGCATAAGCCTTTCCCACAAACTCTGTTTCCTTTCGTTCCAGTCCATTGTTTCAACTCTTTTTCCCAACAAAACAATTGACTTTCAAAAAATGTGTCCACATTACAGGCTGGTTTATTGTTACAATGGGCACATTGAACATTACTCATATTTATTTTCTTTATTTTGTCATTGAGTGTTGTATCTCTAGTCTTGATGTATGGAGAAAGGTCGAGAATGCCTGATGGACATTTTCCACAATCATAGTGGAATTGGTCTATCTTCTCGTCTAAATATTAGGGTTTAGAGCAGGGTGCGACCAACTTTTAAGAGAAACGGGGGTTGTGGAACTTCGGGGAACGTGGGTTGCGGGGAATTGAGGTAACGGATGATGCGAGAAATCTGGGGAACGGGGGTTGCGGGAACTTCGGGGAACGGGGGTTACGGGGAACTTCGAGGAACGGGAGTTGCGGGGAATTCGAGTTCGGGGAACGTAGGTTGCGGGGAATCTAGGGAACGGGGGTTGCGGGGAATTCGAGGAACGGGGGTTACGGGGAACTTCGAGGAACGGGAGTTGCGGGGAATTCGAGTTCGGGGACGTGGGCGGGAGCCCTCTTGAGCTTCCTCCAGGGATTTCCCTGCCCCTAAACAGGGGTCTAACCCTTGTTTAAAGAAATATAAAAAAGAACACACACCTCCATTCTTCTCTTCAATTTTAGCAACGTAGCAGTCAGATTTCTTACACTTTTTATTACTACCCATAAAGCCAAAGCAATAGAAATTGTCTTGATTATTACAAAGATGTTCATTACACTCTTCACATGTATGGAAAGGACACTTCCCACATCCTTTTTTAACTTTAAAAAATTTATTATTTAAGTTAGTTACTTGTGTAGTTCCCCTCCCATAAGCCCCGCCCCTTTCTTCTCTTCCTCTCTTTTAAAGAAGAACACCTTCCCCCCGACATTGGAAAAACATCCTCCTTTGTTGGAACAACATCCCGCAGAATTGGAACAAGATTCACCGTCGTTTTGCCTGGTTGGAACAACATTTCCACATGACGGAAATCCCTCGTGTTGGTCTTCCTTTCTTGGAATAATTGCTGGCGGTAGATTGGGCTCGCGGTAGGTTGGCCTGCTTACGATATGGTAGACTAACAGAAAGGAAATATTGACTCAAATGTATTTCTGTGAGAAAGGAAGAGAGAAAAAAAGGGGCGGGACTTATGGGTGGGAAACTACACAAGCACCACATTTGTAAACAAAATTAAAACCCTCATTTGTTGACGTTCTCAATGAATAACAAGGAGTCTTAGTTTTACACTTTTCTTTATTATTTGTCCAGCAAAGCTTGGTAACTTTATCTTCAGTGTTACAATAATCCTCATTACATGCAAAACATTCAATTTTGTCGTTTTTCAAACACTTTCCACATCCTTGTTTTACTAGGAGAGTAATAATTTAAGGTATTATTTGGTTATCTCCCCAAATTTCCCATTAACAAAATTGTAAGGTAAGGGTCCACCCCAGAAGAACAAAATAGAAGGTAAGCCTCAGAAGATCATGCCCTACTTGTCAAAGTACCCTGGAGGTCAGATCCGAATATTTGGGTGAATAAAGGTGACACAGGATCAATAATATGTTTGCCTTCTTGCTCTGCCTTATAAGACAGTTTCAAGAGAGAATTTCCGTTTTATGTCCCTTAATCCACCTTAAAGTTAAAGTACTATTTGGTTAGGTATCTCCCCAAATTTTCCCATTAACAAAATTGTAAGGTAAGGGTCCATCTCAGAAGGTCATTGAGGTCAAGCCTCAGAAGGGCATACCCCTATTTATCAAATTACCAGGAATTTGAATAGTACCTTTCCAAGAAGTCAAATCTCTCCAAACAAAACATTTATCCTTGCAAACTCTTGTCCCTTTAATTAACTTTGTTCCATTCTCCGACTTTTCCAAACAAAACAATTGCTTCTCGATAAACTTTTCGGTATTACACAAGGGGCTGTTATTGCATTCTGCACATTGAATTTCATTTAAATTTTTTCCAACCAATTTTTTGGAGAGGGATACATTGGATGTGTTTTTGAAGAATTCGTTGTTAACTGGACATTTTCCACAGTCGTAATAGTATTCGTTATGATTACCGACTGAAAAATTCGAATTCTAAATCATGAAATATTGGCTCTAGTTTGGGGCATGGTCCCATAAGCGGTTAAGCGTCCCATCAAAGTATATACGTCCCTGAAGGGTACAGCCTATGTAGGCGCGCGGCAAGTAGGTGCAAAGCCATAACTTGTTTCAAGACTTCCGTATCTTTCCAAATTTAGTATTAAACGATTCCTCTTATTGAGCTAAAGAGATTGGTACCAGAATTGTTACGGTCCAGAAATTTTCAAGCTAGTTATGGCTTTGCGCCTTCTTGGCCGCGCGTCTACATACTTGCTTGTTTCACGTCCCAAATTAGCATCCGGACTGTAATCGAACCTTTGATTCCTCGTAGTTATTGCTAGGCGACTGAGCTCCGGGAGCGACGTCTAATACTTCCTTCTCTATCCTTATGCTAGTTTAACCCCCGCTTAAGGTTTTAAAATGCGGCTAGGCGAATCATCCTTACATCTCCATCCCTATATCAGACCGGCCCCCGGTTAAGCGCCTCTAACCGTGGATCGGCTGGTTTTCCCTATACTTATCAGGCATGTCCCGGGTACCCGAACCCCGGACACTTAACCGACCCGAAAATGATCCTAAGAAAATTTTGAAAACCAGACCCGACTTTTTTCTCAACCCGTGACATTCCTATACTTATTCAACAGTACCTTTATTCAACTTTATAATGTAACAATCTTTCTTATTACACTCTTTAACTCCATTAATTCCTTCAACACTTTTACAGTAATAAGTATCCGTCCAACTATTACAACGACTAGCTTGACAGTCTCTACATGAGGTAGAATTACACTTTCCACATCCTCTGTTCTCTTAAAGTAAAGAAATTTTTATTTAAATTTATGGGTACTAGTGTTTCGCCACAAGTTCCGGTTCTGGTAGTCCGGAAGTTCCGGAATTTTTTGGTTCCGGTTCCGGCTAAATTTGCGGTTCCGGCGAAACACTAATGAGTACACCCTTAATACCGCGAGCCCAGTATACCGCCAAGATATAACTTTGTTCAAGATTGTCGAATCCGTAACGCCCTGGTATGGTTCGATGCGGCACGACAAGCTGTTCAAACGGCATCCCGGTCGCGGGGAATTAACCCCGAGACCGAGAGCTCTAAAAACCCGAGAAATTTCCCGAGAGTCTCTAAGAGTCTGAAGAGAGTCTCGAAGTTCAAGACGAAGAGTCTTGAACTTTTCAGACCTAGAGCCTTTCAAAACCGAGAGTCTCGAACATCACTACTTGACGGTATAATGGCCTGCTCCCTAAATTTAGTCAATGCCTGTGTTATTCTTCATTCTCTCCACAAAACAAGGAGTTTCAAACGATGTTTTACATATTTTTCCAGTGTTATCCCAGCAGTGTTTTGGAACAAGACTTTCTACATTGCAATATTTTGTATCACAATTTTTGCAGTCAGATATGGTAAGCCTCTTTTCACAAGGTCGTCTGAAGGCACAACCTTGATCGACTTTAATTTATTGATAAGAAATATTTCTTGTGTTTAAACAAACCTTCTCCTCGATAATCCCTTACGACTTCACATCCTTCTACACATTCTCTTTTCAGGCTATACTGTTTTGAACTACCAGGACGATTCTGCCAACAATATATTACATTCTTGAAGAATGATTCAGTATTACACAAAGTCCCATTACTGCATTGTGCGCAGTTTAAGTCCGAAATTTCGCAATTTCCACAGCCAAAATCAAACTCTAAAATTTTTTAATTGGAAGATATACTCGTTATTAGCCCCTATTTCTAAACATATTTTTTTCCTATTATACACCAGGGATTTGCGTCAAACGCCAATTTTTCAAATTTTTAAATCACGCCAAACGCCAGAACGCCAAAAACGGCCAAAAATCACGCCAAAACGCCATGATGCACATTCCTGTCATATCTGGCTTTGAAAATGGAAGAAATCTGGCTTCTTGGCCTTCCAAAATTCTCAAGCTACGGCCGTATTTTTTGGTATTTACCTGTATTTCGTATAGGTAATACGGTACCAAATCCCGATCACTAGATAAAATATTTCTACATACCAAAACCGAATCCGGTATTTTCCAAATTTTAAACTCTAGTAACTACTAACCATTTTTAGCCTCATTCAAAGCTTTAATGTAGCATTCAGGTTTATCACATTTACTCATTCCTTTCCCACCCTTTTTGCTTCTACAGTAATATTTAAGGTCCTTTCCATCATTACAACGGTTTTTGTTGCACGTTTCACATGTCTTACTGGGGCACTTTCCACATCCTCTATTTACTGTAAAATAAACAAAATTTTATTAAATCTGATATGAATAAGCCGAGCGCATCTGCGCCACTATCATTAATCAGGGACACACCCAATTAGGCGCGCGCCCATAACGGCGCAAGGCCATAACTTGGTGGAAAATTTCTGTCCTTTATCAGTTTTGGTACCAATCGCTTTAGCTCGATGAGAGGAATCGTTTGATACCAAATTTGGTAAGATTCGGAAATCTTGAAGCAAGTTATGGCTAAGCGCCGTTATGGCCGCGCGCCTACTTGGGCTGTAACCCTTTCAGGGTTTGTCAATATTTTGCCAATTTATTTTAATATTTTATGGCCATATTTTGCTATTTTATTTCAATAAAAATCTGTTTCTAGATTATTTAAATACCTCCATTTGTTTTTGTCCTCTCTGTGAAACACTCTTCCATATATTTATTTTTACATATTTTTCCATTATTTTCCCAACAATGCTTGTAAACATTTTTCTCTTCGTTACAATAATTCTCTTTGCAGGCATAACAATCTTTAGAATCTTTTCCTTGACAGTTTCCACAACCTTGCTCAACTTTAATTATGTTATAATTATTTTTTAAATAATTTTTAGAGACTTGTGTAGTTTCCCCCACCCACATAAGCCCCGCCCCTTTTATCTTCCTTTTCTTAAAAAATGACATTTGGCTCAATATTTCCCTTCGTTTCAGCTTAACCTATGCCTATTATTACCTAACTCTTCAATGATAGAATAAAAAGGGGGCGTGGCTTGTGGGGGGTTAACTGCACAAATTTCAATTTTTCCGCTTTTTCCACTCCCATATTTTAAAAAGAGGAAGTGGAACGCAGAAGGGTAAAAACGATATTCTGGGCGGAAGAAAGCCATCCCTGATATTTACCTTTCCCGTCAGAATTTCTATAAACAAAGCATTGTTCATTGCATTGTTTTATTCCCTTCAAGTGATTCTTCTCTTCCTTTCCTTTATTCAAACAAAATAAATTCTTCTCAAAAAATTCTTTTGTGTTGCATATAGTTTTATCACAATTGGCATATTTTAATACATTTTCCGTTTTCTTTGGGGAGTCTCCACAGCCTTGTTCGACTTATTGTGAAAATAATTATTTAGATGCTTACGTAATTTACGTTTCCCAGAGTTGAGTCAGAACAGTCAGGGGTGTCGGAAATCGGAAAAGCCGGAAATCGGAACTGGCTCAAAAGTCGGAACTTGGAAATCGGAAATTGTAAGTCGGAACTCAGAATTCCGACTCATCTCTCCTCCGTTTTTGGGGGGTACAGCCCAATTATGCGCGCGGCCATAACGGCGCCTAGCCATAACTTGCTTCAAGATTTCCGAATTTTACCAAATTTAGTATTAAACGATTCCTCTCATCGAGCTAAAGAGATTGATACCAAAATTTGATAAGGTAAGAAATTTTAAAGCAAGTTATGGCTTTGCGCCGTTATGGCCTCGCGCCTACTTGGGGGTGTCTCCTTTTTAAGGTGTCACGTCCTACCTTTTTTATCAGAGTAATAAGCATAATAGCATCTTCCTTTATATTCCTTTTTACTGCATTCTACAATCTCATTATCACTTTTCCAACAATACCCCACTTCTTGATAGAGATTCTTAAGGTTACAAACATTTGTTGTGCATGTCCTACAGTGTCTTGCATCCTTGGGGCATTCCCCACATCCTTGCTTTGTATATTTTTCTAACGCTTTTTCTTCCGTTTTACCTTAGAAATTGGCGAAATGCAAATTTTATTTAATAATTAGAGTCTGACAATTTAGGTTCCGGCCTATTTTTCGACCTTGTAATGGTGAATAAAGCTCAAAAAGCTTATTTGGCACGGTACCATGTCCCGACCGGAGCTCTTTTTCTATACGGGAAATGGTAAGTCTCTTCAGAGCGCTTGCGATAAAGACCTCTCTCGTATGGAAAGGACGCAGAAGGACGCCTTCCCATACGAGACCTTTATCACAAGCGCTCTGAAGAGACCAATCATTTCCCGTATAGAAAAAAGCCCTAAAAACCTATCTCGGCCTTTTTGGGCCTATGACCTATCTTGAACCTATTTCGAACCCTTTTTTGACCTATTTTGCCCTTTTGAAGACTCAACTCCAAAAATACCTTTAAGAAGATCAACGGAGATAAAGCATTTATTTGCATCGCATCCTCTACCTTTATGATCAGAATATTTTCCGTTAGTACTTTCTGCACATTTAAATTGCAAATCCATATTAGGATGTGTATTGCAAAATGCTGTTTTACAGGTAAAACACCAAAATTCGATATCAGGGCATTTTCCACATCCAATAGACTCTCCCACATTCTGCTATAATGGAAAGCAAGGCTGTGCGCCAAACGCCACGCCAAAACGCAATGACGCACAGCCCTGCTCACTCCCCTATTTTTTCTCATACTCTTACTTCATACTAGAATTGGTCGAAACCTCACCGAGGTCGAGGCCTCGCCGATTTTTCAAAACCGACCTCGATTTTGCTGATCTCGGGCCTCGGTCCCGGGTCCAAATTTGCCCCTCGATCTCGGCTTCTCCAGCCTCGTTGATCCTCGGTCGATTTTCGCTTTTATAATATTATCTAGGAGCATATTATAAAAATAATTCCGTACCCTTATACCGAAATTACATTCATTTACGCCAGGAGAACATAGCGTTTTCTTCCAATTAGGAGCATTACACATAAAAATATTTGATTCGGCAAATTGTTTCACGTTGCACAAACTATTGGAGCATGTCTTGCAATGACTTTTACCAGTAGGGCAATCTCCACATCCTTGCTCTGTGTGTTTTTCATATATGGTTTCCAATTCTCCTTCTTAGATAGAAAAATTATTTGTGGTAACCCCCTTATTTGTGCAAAATTTCTGGTCCGAAGATTTGAATCCGCAAAGCTTGGCGCGCCTTTTTACCTCATATTTGCCTCTTATTTACCCACAACCTAATCTTTATGTTAGGGTAGCCCGTTTGCCTAAAGTAAACTACATATACCTAGTAAGAGAGAGATAAAAGTTTAATCCCGGGCAGGCTTCGATCCTGGGACCTCCTATCAGTTATTGCTAGGCGCTTTTGCTCACCGCGTACAGGTGCTCTACCAACTGAGCTACCCGGACGCTGCTTTCATTTTTTGATAGATCTTAAATCTCAGCTTAGTAAGCGTTTTAAATGCTAGCCAGCTAGATCTTTCCCTTCCGTACACTATTAAGTTACTGTAACGAGTCCATATCAGGGGTGAGCGCAAGAGGCATCAGAGGTGAGCGCACTCACCCCTCCTCTATATAGGCAATGACTACAAATTATAATTTCTAGATATACCTTTAATATTAAAAGCTAGATAGCATTTTTTCTTGGCACATTCTCTTGCATTTGTAGCTGTAAATTTCCCTTTACTCGCAAAACATCTGAATGCATTTTCCAAATTATCTTTCGTATTACAATTTGCCGGGCTGCAGTCAAAACAATTAAGATCCTCTGAGGGGCAGTTTCCGCAACCAGCTAACCCCCCTCCGGGCTTAAAAATAAAAAAATTTTTCCGAATTAAATAATTTTTCGACCTTTACTCCATAATAACATTTTTCTGTTCCGGGAGCGCAGATCACCCATTTATCATCAAATGTACGGCATGCATAAAATTTTAACCTATAAAAGTATTCTGTGTTGCATAAATTTTCTGTGCATGTAAAGCATCGTCCTTCTACTTGAGGGCAATTTCCACAGCCTTGTTTTGTGTATTTTTCAAGTATTTCTTCAGAATCTCTCTCTTAAACATAAATTTTGCAGTGAAAATATTTGACACTTGTCTTTTATACCCACAAACTGAGCGCCAGCCAAATTTGATCGGCTATAACTTTTTTGTACTTTATCCAATCCAGATGAATTTTATATCATTTGAAAGCTCTCGATAAGCGCTATCTTTTATCCAATTGGTTGGATCAAGTCTGATCGTTCATTAAAAAGTTACAACCCGATAAGTGTGAAAAACAACGATTTCTTCCACTTATCGGGTTGTAACTTTTTAATGAGTGATCAGACTTGATCCAGCATTTGGATAAAAGATAGCGCTTATCGAGGGCTTTCGAATAATATAAAATCATCTGGATTGGATAAAGTACAAAAAAGTTATGGCCGATCAAACTCGGCTGGCACTCAGTTTGTGGGTGACTTCTAGGCAACCTTTAATTGAGGAAGCAAAATAGCATTTTTTACTGAGGCATTCTCTTGCTTTCGTATCTGTTCTTTTGCCATTACTCTCATAACATCTAAACACCTTATTTAAATTGTCCTTCGTGTTACAGTATTTTGTATTGCATTCAAAACAATCTAAATCCCCTTCACATTTTCCACAACCCCCAATACCATTTTGCTTCTAAAAAAATAAAAGCTCATTTCGAATTCTCAACTATTTACATTTTCTCCGTAATAACATTTTTCTGTTCCGGGAGCGCATATCATATTAGATTTTTTATCAGAAGTACTAAAACATGCATAGAATTTATTACTGTAAAAGCTTTGAGAGTTGCATAAATTTTCTGTGCAAGTCCTGCATTGTCCCACAACTTGAGGGCAATCTCCACAGCCTTGTTTAGTGTGTTTCTCAAATATTACTTTCGAATCTCCTTCTTTAACAAAAAAATTTTTTAGAAGAATATGTATCATCATATAAAATTATCTTATGTATGTAGTTCCCCCTCCCCCCCCATAAACCCCGCCCCCCCCCTCCCCTTCTTCTCTTCGTTTTCTTGAAAAATGACATTTTGTAAATATTTCCGTTTTATTTATTTCAGCCTACTCTATGCCGATGAGTACCAAGCTCTTCGTTTTAGATACTAGGGTACAATGCTGTGTGTGTAAACGTTAACTCTGAGTGTAGAGTTCATTTCCTAAAAGAATTTCTGGACATAGACTAACCTACTCACAATATAGACTCACAATACATACCACAACAGAGAAGAGTCTATTCCTGCGTGTCCATTTCTCCTCTCTCCTTTATTATAAAATATGAGGGAAGATAAGAGGGCGGAGCTTATGGGGGGCAAACTACACAAGTACCTAAAAAATGTACCTTTTATATCAAACGCTAAATAACATTTATTAGTGTTACATCCAATTCCTCTTTTACTTGTCAACTTTCCATTACTTTCATAACATTTGAAAGATTTATCATAATTAGTTTTCGTATTGCATTCTTTAGTGTTGCATTCATAACATATAAATTCTCCTGGACATTTACCGCAACCATAATTTTGAGCACCTGGGTTAAAAAGTTTACATAGTAATAAAGAAGAGGCAAATTTTTCATCTAAATCTATATATATCTGCTATTGTAATAATACCTAGAAACAAGGGTAATACTTTGGAAGTTGCCCCCTTCTTTCCCCGTTTCCCTGACCCTTATGAGCTTTTTTGTTTGATATATCAAATTAAGAAAAAGGAAAGCTACTCGAAACTTAGATAACCTCAATGTTAGGTGCATTTATTACGTGAATTTATTGTACCTGTTTTACCCAGTTTTATCTAACTCGGCTATTCAACCAGGTTAACTCTAGCTTTTCTTCCATTTTCATATTACCGTAAATTTTAAAATAGAAGCCCTGGCTTCTATTTTTGAATGGCTCTTGTCCAGTTTATGCGTCCAATGAAAGTTTATGCGTCCAATCAAAAGAAAATAGGATTTTTCTTTATATTTTGAAGTTGGGGTTGGGTTCTTTAACATTTATTGATGTTCGGGACCTACGACTTATACTAGGGCATGGACTTCTATTGGGTCATTTATGGTATTTATCTCACCTTTATCATCGGTGTATACGTAACAAATTTTTGTTTCGCATACATTTCCAAGTTTTATATTTCCTTTATTATCTTTTATATAGCAGTAAAAGGCTTCTTTGAATTTATCTACAGTATTACAGTTTATGCCATCGCAATGATAACAATGCCTATTTGGATCACAATAGCCACAACCACCCCAGAATCTACCTTCAATTGTATTGAAATTAAAACGTTTATAAATTCATTCCAAGGGGACCCAATGTTGTGATTTATACTTAGTAAAGATTTTTAGTAAATATTCATGTCAATCATATAATTACGCCATAAAGGAATTACGCCAAGCTGTCAACCAATGATTTGATGACTCGAAAAAAATCCAGGGGGATGAAGGGCAAAATTCAGCAAAAAATGCCTTTTGCAGGATGCCTTTGCGGAGTGGAATTGCGCAAGCTAGAATACGAGCTGGAAATTTACCGGTTGTTTCTATGTTAAAATCTTTTCGTAACTGTAGTCAACTATATTTAACCGTCTATTTTTTACACTATACTTGCGGAGTTGGTCGGCCTTCGGCCGCCCCACCCCGCTAGCAAAAACAAAACAAACAAAAAACAAACTCCAAATCAACTTATCACAACCTCAAAATTGGCCCTAATCCAATCATAATCAGAAAAACCCGATTATCATAACATTGACCAGCATTAAAATATTTCCTGATTACCAATACATTTAACAAAGCAAAGCATCTAATAGGTACACCTGATAGGGTACACACAGGCGTCGTGTGACTCCGCTAGCATAACAAAACAATTCAACTCTAGATCCGATTCAAAAGCCTTCTACCGACCCATCTCGCTTACCCATTTTTTCTCCTCACAATTCCGTTTGCTTCGCAATTCCCCCTGTTTAAATATTCCGCCTGCTTCACAATTCCCCTTGTTTCAATATTCAGCCTGCTTCACAATTCCCCCTGTAGCACTTCAAATGAACGTTGACGTCTAGCACATGAACGTTGATGCCTGGCACTTGACAAATGAACGTTGACGCCTAGCACTTGACAAATAAACGTTGACGTCTAGCACATGAACGTTGACGTCTAGCACTTCAAATGAACGTTGACGTCTAGCACTTGACACATGAACGTTGACGCCTGGCACTTGACAAATGAACGTTGACGTCTAGCACTTCAAAGGAACGTTGACGTCTAGCACTTGACACATGAACGTTGACGCCTAGTGTTGAAAGCAGTTGAAGAATGACCAAAATAGCCTGCTTTTATACTATCTTCTTACCCTCACAACCTAATTCAACTGGCAACGCTTTACTATAAAAGCCCCCATTTCCTCACTCCCCCAATCATTTTACTATAAAAGCAACTTGTCTATAAAAGGACAAATAGACACACACACCCTTCTCAATTATATAATTAGATTGTTCCTTAAGATCAAGATCAAACCGATTCGGTTTCCCATGTTTTTGGTTCTGGTTATGTCGGTTCGATCCTTAATCTGTAACGGCTTATATATACTGTAACAGATTCAGTAAATCCAGCTAGATAAACCACCCATTTTTACAAGTACGAACAAACCTTCAGTTCCTATCCAATCTGTGATAAAACAGGTATGACCATTACAGACTGCCAAGGCTCCTGGTACGTTATGGTCAGCCAAACATGTATGCAATTTTAAGTATTGAACATTATTGCAAAATGTATCCGTACGTGTGCAACCAAAACAATCAGAATATCCTGCACATGTTCCACATCCTTGTTTTACTTAAAATATTATACGGTGACTAGCTGGAAAAATCGTATATTTGTAAAACTTAAGAAAAGTATCCCCTAAAATGACTATACCGAATAAGTTACTATGCGGTTATCCGCCTCATTTTCAGCTCTTCCTTCCTCCTTTCTCATAAATATTACAAAATGTTCAAATATAAATACAATGAAGGATTACAAGAACTCTGTACTTATAGGAGGTTTTTAATGCGTAGAAGGATATGGACGTGTGAGGTTGCCTATTTACGGGCCCTTTTCTCTTGTTTATTGACGAACCCTTTTCTTATAAAGATTGATTATTAATTGAAAAAAATACAAAAGAATGTCAAAACAAATTCTAAAAAATCTCATTACTTTCTTGACTTCTCTAAATACACACTATTTTCTTTATTTAGACATATGTCATTTTTAAACAAAAACTAAACATAACGCCAAAAACTTCGCCAAAAGTCACGCAAAATTCAAAGCTGCGGACAAACAAACAAACGGTTGCTGATATTCGGAACCGAAAAAAGACCAGATATCCAAAAAATTGGTTATAGATTTTGGATTTGGAGGTACATCGGGAATGTCAGCTGATTTCAAAGAAAGAGATTAATTTTGAACGGATAACAAAGGATCCTTTAGATTTTTATTTGGCAGGCATATACCTAAGTGGGGCATTGAGGAGTAGAGAAAAAGCGGAAACACAAAGTCGAAATGCCTAATCATTTTATTTGACTCCACCCCAGAATATCTACACCCAAAATATCTACACCCAAAATATCGAATGACCTTAAATATCGAAATTTTTAAATTTCATAATTGTGTATTACAAGTACATATGGAGAAGTCTTTTTAACAAAGGGGAATTGCTCCAACAATCAAAAAAACATAAATCTGATCAATATGTTCAATTAAAGAGAGTGATCAATCTCCAAGTAGAATCTTGATTGGGGCTATTGTCAGTTCGATCGCTTCTCTGTAGTTGGAACACTTCCCAGATGTTGGAACAACATTCCCGATCATTAAATACACAATTATGAAATTTAAAAAGTTACGATATTTTGGGTAATTCGTCATTTTGGGTGTAGATATTTAGGGTGTAGATATTCTGGGGTGATCCCATTTTAATTTATAATTCAACTTTAATTACTATTATAATATGTATAGTTTCGCCCAGGAAATTTTGCTTTTTGGCTCCAATCCGTTTCCGTTATCCTAATAAAGCAGGCAAATTTATATCTTTTATTGCATTCAATTACTTTAACGTTTACTTCATCAAGACAAGCGAACTTTGGTGTATTATATATCTTAATTATCTCTTCTTTATTATTAGGAAACTGAAATGTTATAGTTTGAGTAGCATGATAGTAATCTCCTTACCTCATATATTATACTACCAGGATACTAAAATGTTTCAATTTGATTAGTATGTAATTATTAACATACCTCTTCTAGATCACAAAAAAACTAAAATATTTAAAATTAGTATTAGAGATCGGAATTTTGTTCCGTACCGTAATACCGATACCGATAAATACCGATAAAAATTTATCGGTATTCCGTACCGTATTAAAAAAATTAAGTTAAAAAATTATTTTTATTTATGAATTGTGGTGATAAATACACGTAGACGAAAATTTTGAGGAGATGTAAGTCCAAGAAGCAAGATTTCTTCCTTTTTAGCGCCGCAGGCGAAAATTTTGAAAATTATCAAAGGCCGAGAGGCTTTTTTCGCTTAAAATAAAACCTTAATAATTGTTATCGATCGTTATTATCGGTATTTTGTTTTGTTTCCGTTCCGTAAAACGGTAAGGAATACCGAAAAATACTGATACAGAAAAATACCAACAACTTCAAAAATTTTGCCGTACCGTATTCCGTGTCGTGCTACCGATACGGAATACCGATAAATACCGAAAAA